GTGCCTGCCCTGGGGAGCAATGTGACTCTGCAGGTGTTTGTGCTTGATGAGAATGACAATGCGCCAGCGCTGCTGGCGCCTTGGACCCAAGGAACAATGGGTTCCGTTAATGAACTCGTGTCTCGTTCAGTGGGCGCGGGCCACGTGGTGGCGAAGGTGCGCGCGGTGGATTCCGATTCTGGTTACAATGCATGGCTGTCTTATGAGCTTCAGCTGAATGAAAATGGCGCGCGCAGCCCATTTCGCGTGGGTCTGTACACGGGCGAGATTAGTACGACGCGCGCCCTAGAGGAGGCGGATGCACCGCGCCATCGCCTGCTGGTGCTGGTGAAGGACCATGGAGAACCTCCACTGACAGCCACTGCCACTGTGCTGGTGTCTCTGGTGGAGAGCGGCCAGGCGCCAAAGGCCTCATCTCGTGTTCTGGTGGGCATCTCCAGCTCTGGGAAGGCGGCAGTGGATGTGAACGCGTACCTCATCATCGCAATCTGTGCGGTATCCAGCCTTTTGGTGCTCTTGCTGCTGCTGTATGCAGCCCTGCGGTGTTCGATGGCACCCACAGAGGGAGTCTGCACCCCTGGGAAGCCCATGCTTGTGTGTTCCAGTGCCGTGGGGAGCTGGTCATGCTCGCAGCACAGGCGGCAGAGGGTGTGCTCTGGGGAGGCCCCACCTAAGACCGACCTCATGGCTTTCAGTCCCAGCCTTCCACCATGTCCAAGAACAGGAAATGCAGGCGAGCAGCCAGATTTTAATGTTGACGATGGCGTTCAAGTAAGTCTGCTTTTATATTCCCTAAATGTAAATCATAATTATGGATATGTTGCAATTACTTTAAGGATACTTTACACCTTTTGTATATAGTACATTCAACCGGGAGCATTAGTTTAGATTAGCAGGATCTTTCTTAATTTATCCTATTTCTCTATCTATCTGTCTATCTATCTCTTCCCCCTGACCTTAAACTCATGGGGTCATGTGATCTATCAAGCATTAAGTATACTCTACAAATTGTCCTTAAACTCAGGATATCTTTGTATAATTTGCTTTTGTAGAGAATGCTGATTTTAGCCTTTTCATATTTAAACCTTCTCTCAGCAACTTTTAACTACTAAGGGGCATGTCCACATGGAGAGAAATGCTTTTACCAAGCACTTGAATATTTGTGATTATTACATTAAGTTGTAATCATACTTACTCCCTCTGTATTTTTTAAAAAAATATACATTTCAAACAGTACCTTGTGCTACCATATTTATTTATTTTTAATCTCAGTTTATATAACTTAGTTTCTTTTTCTGATTGTTCAGAATAGTTTTCCCCCCATAATTTTGTTTCCCTAATTTTAAAATAAAGCAGACAAAAAAGAAATCAAAAGTGAACACATTAGGATGTAGATATGACTCCAATGTGAAATGGTTGCCTACCATAAAGCACATCCTTAGTTTCAGCCACAACACCACGTTTTTGAAACACAGAACAAATGTATCACATGCCATTCAATGCAGTATCATTTATAGCATGTTAATAATTCAAGACATGTTTTTTACTATTGAACAAGTGTGTTACAGTATTTTTAACAATTCAATGTTTTTGAGCATATGTTAAGTAAATAATTGCTTTTAGTCTAAAAGCTCCTTGCTAAATTCTAGTTATTTATCTAATAATAATTTCAGTCCTTTGTTAACAAATTGGAATATTAAAATTGTTTTACATTACCACAAATTTTTCATCAGGAAATTTATATTTAACATGATTTAAAATATTTTTAAATTGAAAACCTATGTACATGAATTCCATTCTTGCAGACCAAATGTATAATTTATAAATTTTCTTTAGGGGGTTGGGAAATGGCTCAGTGGAATAAGTGCTTCCTTAGCAAGTTCAAAGGCCTGAGTTCAATCCCTGGTTCTGCCAAAAAGAAAATCTTTACATGAAATATTCAGAATGATCATGACTAATCATTAAGTTTTGCAAAAATTTTCAGCATTAAGGAGTGGATATTTAGCAAGTCCAAGTTCCTTTTTTAGTAGTCTCTTGGAATTTAAATAACTTTTATTTCATTTTGTCATTTTCCATTTGTTTCTTCAGGCTATTTGACCTGATTTGATATTAAATATCCATTATATATTAAAAATATTACTTTGGAGAGAATACTGGAATTTTTTTGGAAGAGAATGAAAGATTTCTGGAATCCTAAATTTTTCTCATATGTTACTAACATGGTTCTTAATTTGCTTATCACTTTTGAACCAGTAATATAAGCGCTGACAATCATGCTGTCACCTTTGTCAAACTGGATGGAATCCAGTACTGAGATATTTTGTGATTGATTTTACATCTCTCATTTTTTACATGTTTGGCATTTTATTTGGCTACTAAAATATTATAAAATGAATCATTAATTTTTTTGCAGTACTGGGGATGGAACTCAGGACCTTGCACTTCTCAGGCAGGTGCTTAAAATCTGAGCTATTTTCCCAGCCCTGAATTATTAGTTTTAATCTTCCAATTTTAAGGATTTTTGTCTTTTTTGAGCTCTTCCATGCATTATGCTATTTGGATGGAATATTTAGTTTTTCTTTATGAGTGTGATCTTAGTCTTATATTTCATATTCTATTAAGTTGGTCTCAGGTATAGTTCTTCTGAATTAGTTTCCTAATTATTTAATGGATTTTACAAAGGCATTAAAAAGAGCAATGTTTTCTTACCATCTAACAGTGCATTTGACAACACATTATTTTACTCATTTTATTATATGTTCTTTATATTCTCCAATATTTGAATTTTTTTAAGGGTGTACTATTCACAGAGCATATCTCAACATATTTCTTGTATTTAATGCCTGTCACTACTTTATATGATGATTGCTTGTAGCTAATATGCGTTTCTTACCACTTCAGAATTGAAAAGTATAAGCACTTAGTTCTTAATTGTAGTTTATTTTGAATCTTCCTACGCCAATTGTTCCCTCTACCAAGTTTTGTTTACAAATACCTTTGGGAAGCAAATGTGTTTTAGTTTATTGATATTACATTTATGCATATTAATTAATTGTCCCATAATTAATTAATATACATAAATTATAATAAGGTCTGGGAAAATGGGATATAATAAAAAGTAATTTTTATTACTCCTAAGAGGAAGACAATGATAACAAGTAGCCTTAACATGGCTAGTTGTGAAGGTGCATACCTATAATCCAGGTGTTTCAGAGACTGTGGTAAGAGGATAAAAATGCAAGGCTAGCTAGGATTACATAGTGAGATTCTGTCTCAAATAATGACAAAAGAAGAAAAAAATCCTTAAATATCAGGAAAAGTAAATGTCAGAGTATAGTTATAGCTTCTCATATTAGTCTTGTTTATATTTAAAAATTCTTTTGTGGAATCATTTCAGATTAACTGAGTATGCCTCAATATTTTGACTGCAATGTTATAAAATGAGAGAAATCTAAAAGCCAGTTTTTATAGATTTTGGAGAGTTGGATTAATCCACAGATGTGGGAAAAAGGCTTGTGTACCTATAAAGTTTTGTCTGACCTTTATATGACATACTTATTAGATTTGGGCATATTGCTTTAGTGAGAATAGTAGTAACTTAGTTAAATCAATAAAAGGTTTCAGTAACTCTGCATTCTTATAGCATATTATTAATATTATTAAATATCTTTATCGCTTAGTAGTCAAAGAAAGTAAGGATTACCTTATATGACAGTAGTCCTTTTTTTTTTTTTTTGTGGAACCGTGGATTGAACTCAGGCCCTTGTGCTTGCCAGGGAAGCACTTATTCCACTGAGCCATCTCCCCGGCCCCAGTAGTCCTTTTTATTGTTGCAACTTGCCTAAGAATCTTCAGGGTTCTGAGTGTGTGCTTAAATTTCTTTTTAAATTTTGTGTTTTTTCTTTCTTAAAAAGCTCATAATATCTTGATATGATTTACAAATCAATTCAGCATTAGTTCTCCTAACAAAGGGAAATAATTTATATAGTGTTATATAATAATAATAATAATAAAAATAATAGATAAGACTGGCCATCAGTCTGCTTTAAAGAGTAAATAGGTTCCTAGCAGACTTCAAAGAGTATGTCCTCCTGTAAAGAATACTGACTTAAAAGAATTATTCTGAAACTACAAACGAGGTAAAATAATACGACTTATATAATCAAGGCAAGATATTATAATGAGCATGAAAAGGGAACTGAAAAGTTCATCACTGAAAGAAAGGCATTCTCTAAGCGCTTCCCTGGCAAGCGCAAGGGCCTGAGTTCAATCCACGGTTCCGCAAAAAAAAAAAAAAAAAAAGAAAGGCATTCTCTATTAATCTCTCCAATAAAACCCATAAAGGCTGGCAGTGTTTTTCATGGTTTGTAAATGGGTTGGTTTCTACTGGAAGAATGTTGAAAATAATGGGCAGCACTGGTAAGGAGAAACACCAGCAAATGTGAAGATACAGAGATGCCTCAGGTATGACTGGAAACATGGGATGTCAGTTCATACTAGTTAAAAATATGATTTGCACAAAATAAATGCAGAAAAAATGATGTAAGAAATCTTTGTACTTTGAGCATGTGACTAAACAGTTTTTTTAGTAATTAAGGAATTTGTCTTTTTATTTTGTGGAAAAAATAATACAAGATATCAAAACAAAATAAGCGAATGACAAGAGTTAATACACTTGTGTATTGTTATCTTCAAAGTGGTTACTCTGAGCAAAAGATATGGACATAAAAATTCCAAACTGTATTAACTCAAACATTTGTTTTCAATGAACTGAGAGAAATTAGTAGCACAACCACTTTTTACTGTTTCCCCTTTTCCTTCTTTCCTTTTCCCTTTCCCCCACCCTAGTTCCTCTTCCTTTTTGAACTATTTACAAGAGGTTTTGTGAAATGGGAAGAAGTTATTCAAAAGGAATTTTGTTAACTTGTAGCTTTTGAAAGATTTTGTGCAAAATAAATAAATCAACATCGTGTTTCAGAAAGCTGAAAGGGATGACATATCAGGAAATAACTGCAGTGATCAATTAAAAGTGTCTCTGATTTGTAAGAATTTAAAAGAAAATACAGTTATACAAGACATCAACAAAAGAATAAACCTTCGTGATTTTGCTTTAGAATCAAGGACTAAACCTAATATTGATTTTGCCATATAAATTGAATCAGTTTCTATGTACTTTGAAATGTAAACTTAGAACTTACAAAAGAGTTTTTGTTAAGTATAACCTAGGTTGAAAAGTAATCAAAGGCATATCTTTGTTTTAAGAGCATAACTTTAAAATAAAAGCACCTTACATGTAAGGATGAAAAGTAAGGAAATTAAAATATATTATGAAAAAACACAGTATAAGCAGTATTGGTGATTGTAACAAAGATAACTTCACAAATGATAAAGATTGCAAGGAATCAAACTACATACACACGAGAATGCAACAGAGTCCTGGAAGCAGGTGATATAAATGCTAATAAAGGGAAAACTATAGAACATTTTCTTATCACAAAGATCTTAAATTCTATTCTTAAATATTTTGTACTTGAAGAAATGATTTAATAAGCCTATTTCTAAAGGTACATATTTTTCCTGATTGCTTTTTAAGGCAGGAGTAAATTTCTTTTTCATCAGTAGATTTCTAGGCTATTATGCCCATTAGAGATAGTGACTCATGGAGTTTTCTTACACCAGAATCCTAAATCTAGTTATATGAAAAATCCTGAATTCCATAATGAATTTTCAAATTTCTATTTGTGATTGCGTTTAGGGATTACTTTTATTGTCACTCCATTCCTCGGATAGTCTTAAAATTAAAGGAATACTTTTCTCAGGCATCTCAAGGGATACAACTGTGTTCACGTAATACTCTTTGAGAAATTCTGAAAATGCCTTCATAGACTGAACCGTGGTCTCATTTTTGAAAAATGAGTAATCAAGAAAAAGATAAGAAAACAAAATAAAGTTTTACAGGCAAATGGTGCAATGGTTATTCATGGATTGTGTACTGACTCTCTGGGCCACGTGATGTCACTCTTCACCACCTTATTCTGTGACTCCAGAGGAGTAAGCGATCTTTTTCCCATGAGAAAATTTCTCCATTCTTTTTCACTCTCGATGATGAACAAGGCGAATACAGGAAGATGGAGCTGACAGAAACTGATATTTGTCTTAATTTTGAAGCGATTTATGTTATTTAGAAAAAGATCCAGTATTTGGAATGATGTACTCAAGAGGAAGCGTTCCAAAGGGCCGGCACCTACTGCTTCCGCTTCTGCTCCACATAATCTGGGGAGAGGTAAGAGGCCAGCTGCACTACTCGGTCCCCGAGGAGGCCAAACACGGCACCTTCGTGGGCCGCATCGCGCAGGATCTCGAGCTGAAACTGGCGGACCTGGTGCCGCGCCAATTCCAGTTGGATTCTAAGGGACGCGGGGACCTTCTGGAAGTAAATCTGCAGAATGGCATTTTGTTTGTGAATTCTCGGATCGACCGGGAGGAGCTGTGCGGGCGGAGCGCGGAGTGCAGCATCCACCTGGAGGTGATCGTGGACAGACCGCTGCGAGTTTTCCACGTGGAGGTGGAGGTGAAGGACATTAATGACAGCCCGCCTGTGTTCCCAGCTACACAAAAGAATCTGTTTATTGCGGAATCCAGGCTGCTTGACTCTCGCTTTCCACTAGAGGGCGCATCGGATGCAGACGTCGGAGCCAATGCTCTGCTAACTTACAGACTGAGCCCCAGTGAATATTTCTCGCTGGACATACCACCCAACCACGAACAGGTGAGGTCTCTTGGGCTGGTATTACGGAAGCCTTTAGACAGGGAGGAGGCCCCAGAGATTTATTTGTTGCTCACCGCCACCGATGGAGGCAAACCCGAGCTGACTGGCACTGTTCAGATACTCATCACGGTCCTGGATGCCAACGACAACGCTCCCGTTTTCGACAGAGCGCTTTACACCGTGAAATTACCAGAGAATGTTTCTATTGGGACGCTGGTAGTGAACGCCACTGCCTCAGATTTGGACGAGGGCGTGAATGGAGACATTACTTACTCATTTTCTAGTGCTGTTTCTCCAGACATCAAATCCAAGTTCCACATAGATGCAGTGAGTGGGGAAATTACAGTGATAGGACTTATTGATTTTGAAGAAAGTAAAACCTACAGAATTCAAGTAGAGGCGGTTGATAGAGGGCCTCTGCCCCTGGCTGGTCACTGTACAGTTCTTGTAGAAGTTGTAGATGTTAACGACAACGCTCCACAGTTGACTGTCAAAACACTCTGGCTCCCAGTGAAAGAGGATGCACCCATTGGAACGGTTATTGCCCTGATTAGCGTGACTGACCGAGATGCAGGGGCAAATGGGCAAGTGACCTGCTCCCTCTTGCCTCTTGACCCTTTCAAGCTGGTGTCCAGCTTTAAGAATTACTATTCTCTGGTATTGGACTGCTCTTTGGACCGAGAAAGCATAGCTAACTATGAGGTGGTGGTGACAGCGCGGGATGGGGGTTCACCTCCGCTTTGGGCATCAGCCACGGTGTCCGTGGAGGTGGCCGACGTGAACGACAACGCGCCTGTGTTCGCGCAGCCCGAGTACACGGTGTTCGTGAAGGAGAACAACCCGCCGGGCTCCCACATCTTCACTGTGTCTGCGCGCGACGCGGACGCGCAGGAGAACTCGCTGGTGTCCTACTCGCTGGTGGAGCGGCGCGTGGGCGAGCGCGCGCTGTCGAGCTACGTGTCTGTGCACGCGGAGAGCGGCAAGGTGTTCGCGCTGCAGCCGCTGGACCACGAGGAGCTGGAGCTGCTGCAGTTCCAGGTGAGTGCGCGGGACTCTGGAGTGCCTGCCCTGGGGAGCAACGTGACTCTGCAGGTGTTCGTGCTGGATGAGAATGATAACGCGCCTGTTCTGCTTTCGCCTTGGACCCAAGGATCAGGTGGTTCGGTGAGGGAGCTATTGTCTAGATCAGTGGGCCCGGGTCACGTTGTGGCGAAGGTGCGTGCAGTGGACGCTGACTCTGGCTACAACGCTTGGCTGTCTTATGAACTACAACAGGCGGCAGGCAGCCTCCGCAGCCCATTCCGCGTGGGTCTGTACACGGGTGAGATCAGCACGACTCGCGCCCTTGATGAGGCAGACGCCCCCCGCCACCATCTGTTGGTGCTGGTGAAGGACCACGGGGAACCTGCACTGACAGCTACCGCCACTGTGCTGGTGTCTCTTGTGGAGAGCAGCCACGCCCCAAAGGTGTCTTCAAGGGCTGTGGTGGGTATTGGGAGTCCTGAAACGGCCTTGGTGGACGAGAATGTGTACCTGATCATCGCCATCTGCGCGGTGTCCAGCCTGTTGGTGCTCACATTGCTGCTGTACACGGCACTGCGCTGCTCTGCGGTGCCAGATGAGGGCATGAGCGGGCCCAGGAAGCCCACGCTGGTGTGCTCCAGCGCGATGGGGAGCTTGTCGTACTCACAGCAGAGGGGGCCGAGGGTGTGCTCTGGGGAGGGCCTGCCCAAGACGGACCTCATGGCCTTCAGCCCTAGTCTTCCTCCGTGTCCTGTGTCTACAGATGGTGAACCACCTCCAGTTGTTTTGGACTCCTCTGGGAAGGTGGGTTTTTTTTGGTAGTTTTTATGCACTAATATAATTACTTATTGAATGAGTTTATTACATTCTACAGTACATTTATTTACAGGTTTTGATTTTCCAGAAACATTCTGAATTTAAAAATGTATAATAAATTTTTACATTTATTATAATGTAAATAATTATATTTAATTATATACATTATAATGTATATAATAATGGGGCCAGGGAGATGGCTCAGTAGAATAAGTGCTTCCCTGGCAAGGGCAAGGGCCTGTGTTTAATCCCTGGTTCCACCAAAAAAAAAAATGTATACCGATTGGTACACACATTTATGTTTTGGATTTTCTTTTTCTTTTCTTTTCTTTCCTTTTTTTTTTTTCAGAACTGGGGATTGAACTCAGGCCCTTTTATTCTCCTGAGCTATCTCCCCAGCCTCCTGGATTTTCAAACATGAATCATGAAAACCTTTTTCTTAAGCGTATATTTACCTGGGGTCAATTTAATTTTATTTAGAGAGTTACAGGTGACATTGAGTTGCTGATGCAAAGTTGCTATAACACTTGAAATCTTGTGGACATAAAAATTAAAGAGATTGTTAGTGGGACATAATTGTAAGGCTAGCACCTGGACGGCTAAGGGAGAAAGATAATAATTTATTATTTTTTTTTTTTTTTGCGGAACCAGGGATTGAACTCAGGCCCTTGCACTTGCCAGGGAAGCACTTATTACACTGAGCCATCTCCCTGGCCCCAGAAAGCTCATAATTTTGAGACCAGAATGATGGAACCCGGCCTTGATAACATGAAACTGTCCCAAAAGCATTAAAATAAAACAAAAAAGCAGAAAAAAAGAAAACCAACCAATCCACTCAAATCTTTAACAAATAACAACAATGGCCCTCAACCCTTAGTTTCATTTGTCTTTGATCCTGCGTGGAAACTGTCTGGAGTTGCATTGCTCGGTGGCGCTCAGTATCTATCTGCAGCTATTAATTTACCGGAAATAAGTAAATTCCAGCAAACTCTATGAAGCAATTTTTCACTATGGAATCTTCTCCTGTTAGAAATGTTATGCACTCAACCCTCATTTCTATTTATATGAAATATATTCTTAATGTCTTAGCAGCATAGAGCATATGAAAATGTTGGCTTATAGTCATTTCTATATTTAGAAATTGTTTTGCAACCCATTTATTTTTTTATATTAGAGAAAGTATTTCCTGACAGATTTTTCTAAAAATCAATTCTTTTTTTTCTCTGAATGCCTTCAGGGCAGGTTTGGCTGGCTTGAGTTGTGGGGATCGAACCACAGCAACCTGAGCCTGACTGCTTTGTTGAAGCAGCCACTTAAAGAACTGAGCTAAGGGGCAGGTCCCCAAATCAATTCTTTTTATTGAGAATTTCCGTTTAGTGATAAATTTATGATCTATGTAGGTCCTTTGAATTCTCTTGAAATCCACAATCTGGGATTTTAAAAAATCACCCATACCAACATAGAAGATTTACTTTTCTTTTGGTAAACTATAGAATAGGAATCTGGATATGAGATTGTGAACCTTGTAATTCACCACAAGTCATAGTTACAGTTCCTGGATAATATTTTGAGCATTCCAACTTTGTGATTCTTTGCCCTGTAGCTTTAGTGAGGACTCATTTTTTCTTTCCTATTTTATTTATTTTTGGTGGAACCGGGAATTGAACTCAGGCCCTTGCACTTGCCAGGGAAGTGCTTATTCCACTGAGCTATCTCGCCGGCCCCTTCTTTCCTATTTTATAAACTTTCCTTGTAGTTCTGTTTTTATAGTAATTTATGTACCTATTTTGGCTTTTTTATTTTATAGTGTATTTTGCAAGGTATTATTAAAATATTAATGGAACCATATCAGAGTGGTCTTGGCTGGGTATGGTGGCACATGCCTACATTCCCAGCGTTCAGAAGGCTGAGGCAGAAGGATTGCTGCAAGATCAAGGCCAGCCTGGGCTGCAAGGTGAGTTCAAGGCCAGGCTGAACTGCATAGTGCAACCCTATCTCAAAAAGACAAGGAAAGTCAGGGTGGTCTAGAAAATAGAGCCACGATAATTATGAAAATGAGAATAAAATTTATTTTGAGTAAATATTTCAGAGTATTCCCCTAAACACATTAGTATATGGTACAAAGTTATTTTTCACTGTACTTCTTTTGAAACTTGAGCTGTTTCTGAGTCCCTGTCGTCAAACCTACATATGTCAAAACAAGTTATCTTGAATTCAGACTTACCCTTTCTAATATGAAAGTTTTCTTTGAATTTTTCAAGAGTCTGTGTTTGATTGGGATTGCACCCAGTTACTTACTATGTAGTATGGATTGAGAGGTACTCAAATGTCATTTGACCCCTCCCAAAACTCCTGTCTTTCACAGACATTATATTTCAAACTATTACTTTGCTCTCCATAATTATAAATTTATTTTATTATTCATTGCTATTTTGATAATTTATAATTGCTAATTGATAATTTACTTTTAACTTTAGTCATTCCCCAAGTTGGAATGTTATCATTTGCAAATTTCTGAAGACCTGTGAGCACTTTCATAACCAGTTTATCCTTTAGGACCATTGGGAAGCATGAAGTCATTGGTATCAGGGATGCTGGGAGTAAAAAAAAGACAAGTTCAAAAGAAATATGAACTATAGTGATAGCTCAGTAGAATAAGTGCCTGCCTGGAAAGTGCAGGGTCCTGAGTTCAATCTCTAGTACTAAAAAAAGATATGAGAGTTTAGAGCACCAAATTGCACTGTCTATGCTTCTATAGGCAATATTTCTTAACGCAAACCAGAATCACAATGGAAATTATACAATTCATCTCATGTCAGTTTTTCTCAAATTGTACTTACTACCTTGAGTAAATTATCTCCCAGTCTCAGGCATTTTTAAGAGGGTGCTATAAATACCTATACAAGACTACAAAGTGAATCTATGCTAGGTAAAGTAAAGTCAGTGGTCAGCTACTTTAAGTCATAATAATTCTAACTGCATTAACAACAATTCAAGTCATCATTGAGTAATCTCATTTAAAACTCAAAAATTTCCAAAATGGAAGGTATGGGCAAATCTTCATTTTAATGAGCACCACTTAAGATTTTCATATAATTTAAGTTTTAGATGTGTAGTACTATTCAATGCTGGATAAAGATTCTTCTAATTTAAAGAGATATAATTTAACTAGCTGATATTTTATACAATATTTAATATCTGAATCAGAAGGCTTATATTATTATTTGGTAGGAAGAGCACAGTAGCCAAAATCAAATTTAGTTTATATCATTATGTTGTATGGAGATGTTGAATCAATTGTAATCTTACTTGTGGCTTTATATATTAGTAGCTCAAATTGAGCATTGGTACTGTGGGTGAGTAGATGATGCACTACATTTATAAGAAGATAGTCCCTGAAGTCATAACTTGAATGGGTTTCACCAGCATCATTTTGAAATATAGAACTGTAAAAACAAAATTTAGCAGGGTACATAAAATCATGGATTAAGAAAGCCTCATCCCCTTACAAACAGAAAGTCTCATTTTCTGTTTGTAAATGTTACTCTCTCATTCTCCTTTTAATAAGGACTAAATAAAGAATTAATATATTTTAAAAATTTTATAACCCTATCATTAAAGCAGTCTGTTTTGTATAGGATCAAAGTTCTGTTATTAAGTTTTCTCTTTTTTTGAAAAGCAGAACGCTAAAGTTTTCTAACTAGAATAGTTATTTTAGGGGAGAATTTTGCTTCTTGAATATTTGATTCTAAAGACTTTAAAAGGGGAGTCTTTTCCCCAAAGGCAGTGATTAAAACTCTATTAGGAGGCCAGGGAGATGGCTCAGTGGAATAAGCACTTCCTTGGCAAGTGCAAAGGCCTGAGTTCAATCCCCGGTTCCACCAAAAAATAAAAACAAAAAACTCTATTAGGTAAAAAAACTATTATGTAAATTCCAGGAATATATCTTTTGGTATTTAAAAATTCTGACTTTAACAAAGAAGAAAGTGGTTGTCTTTGAAATCAGAATTTATATACTTGTGAATTATCTTATTAAGAATCATAATTATCTTTTTTGCTCATGTAATATATCAAAAAGAAAATGTCTTTTTGATTAGTGAAGTCACTTTACTGTTTTCATAGGAAAAAACCCATCCCTGTCAGCAGTGCAGTAGCAATACTAATTTATTGTAAAGAAATGATATCCTATAGACAGTTTTTGCTGAGGAGCTGAGTTTCATTTTGAATATCATGAATCCAGATGTCACATTTGAAGCTTGTGAATAAGTCCCCCTTATGAAACACTCATTCTCTTTAAGGAACTGTCCTACGTACTTAATACCTTTAATATGTTCACGATATTTCACACAAACATCATACTATCATTATGCACAAAAGTGTCAACTGAAACATGAGGAAGTAATGGTGGGAAAATTAAAATGGAGAAACACCTGATATAGAAGTTAGTGATTCTTCTATAATCTTGTGTTTTCTGGAAGTTTAAGTATCATATCTTGAAGAGACCAATGCTTGCCATCTAATAAAATACCAGTACACTCAATAGTGCACAAAAATCAAGAGTATTTTGAAGTTTAGCAATAATCACGTGTTTGAAGAAGGAAGTACTTCTCTGAAGTTGTACATTAAGGAAAACATTGCATCTAGGATCAGCAACCATTACTACTATATGCAAAGGAGGTATAATTAAGAGGCTTTGAGGTGAAAGTACATAAACAGAACGAAAAGACGCGAATGAAAGGTTAAACTCATGTAATTGTACTTACACATTAAGCCACCTGATGTCGCTGTCGTCCACAAAATATAGTTGTTTAGACCAACCATATACTACTTCATTGTTTCTCGAGGATTAGGAAGTAGCGATATTCTGAGGTCTCTGACATTTCGATGAAAAATGGAAAACATTGAACAAGGAATATCAAAGCCTGTATGCATTCCAGTCGGAGTATTCATCGACTTGTAACACAAGAGAAAGCTAAGATGCTGGTCTCCAGACATCGCGATCCGGG